ATAGGTCATTTCATGATTTTTTGCCAATTTCAACAATTCATAACTCTCTCAATTTTGGCATATTTTGAATGGTTCAAATTTCAAAATGTAACTCAAGAGGTCTATTTCATGCCATATTTTTTGGTCAAGAGAAAATTCCAAGAGGAAGGCCATGTTTGGATGCAAAACATTATAGGTCATTTTGAAGAAAAACTTGAAATATTTGAGTATGGAAAGTCAACCTCTTTTTCCCAACTTTGCCTCTTTGCAACTTTCAGCTCAAACATCCATTTGATTCCATTCTTTTCCCATTGCAAAGCTTGTAATCTCATGTTTCTAAATCATCAAGAACCATGCCTTAAGACCCCTTGAGTTGAGAATGTCATTGTTTCAAAAGTGGTAACTTGGAATTGAAGTTTCATCGCAAGTCAGAATTTGAATTTCATGTTACAACTTCTAACCCTCAAATTAGCACGCGTTTTGGGTCTAAACATGATTAGCCAACTTTCCCAAGTGAATTAGTGCATTAAAACGTGTGTTTTGGATGAGTTTTGACAAAAGAGAAGTCACACTTTCTTCATGATGCAGACCCACATGAATTCCCTCCAAATTACATCATTCACCCTTCCTTTTGATCTCATTTGCTTCTCCTATAAATATATGAGCTATCCCATTCATTTTCTCAAGCTTGAACAGCCAAATCATTGTTCAAGCTTGAACAGCCAAATCATCGCTCCATAACTCACTTTTCTGCAACTTCTAAATCATTGTTCAAGCCTTTTTCTATCAATTCACCTTCCTTGATCTTCCCTGAAGCTAACAGAAGAAGAATCGAGCCTTGAAACCTTCTGAATTGATCTGACCAAGTCCATTTACAGAGCTCTGCAACTGAACTTCAATAGGTAGATTTCTCTATCAATTCTTCCAAACTTTGATATCATTATGAAGCTCTCATTGCCCTGATTCTTGTGCTTCTTACAATTTTTAAATCCATTGAGAATTGAGAGAGAAATCTCAAATTGAAGGTGCTCGCTATTTTCTAGGTTTTTGATTCATATCTCTTTGCATACCTTATATAAATTTGGCGCAATGGTGATGTTAGGATCATCTTGAAGAGACGAATCCAATGATACTAGTCTGGAATCCTAATTTTTTCATTTGAAGGATCTCACAAAATCTCCATTGCAGGGCATCTGGAGGTTGAAGACGATGTCATGTCTCGTCTCAGCCAATGATAGCGTGCCAAACGTTTTAATTTCATTGATTGCCTTTTTTCTGATCCTATGCGTATCTCACTAAGGTCCATATCAAGCACAGTGCATCTGGTCCATTAGATCAGCTTACTAACGCGTTTTGACTATAATGTGATGGGTTATATTTTTTTGGTTTCATTTTATTTTCTGATTTTATGTTTTAATTGATTTAATTTTCAAAAATTCATAACTCTTTTATTTTTTTATCCAAAAATTATGAAAAAATTCACAAAAATACTTTGAATTATTTTTGATCTCATGACTGTTTTTTCACATTTTTTTTGAGATTTGATATTTTTTATATTTTTGCATTATTTGCTTTCTTTTAATTACTTTAAAAATACTTTCTATCATTTTTTAATTCTAAAAAAATTCTTAAATATCATTTTACATATTTCTGACTTTTTGAAAATTTTATGAAATTTTATATTGATGTTTACTATTTTTTGATCTATTTTCTATTTGTTTGAAAATTTTTAATTAGTTTAAAAATAGTTTCTGACTTTAAAAAATTACCAAAAATTTTATAAATATATTTGAGTCTATTTCTGATTTTTCTATGACCTTATTTCTTTTTTATGAATCAATTTGAATATAGTTGATATTTTTTCCTTTATTTTCATTTTTATTCATTTTTAAACCCTTTTCAACATATATATTAAGTGTAATATTATTTTGTGATTATTTTCTGGCTGATCTTGGGTTGAATTTTTTATCATGAACTTTATTAACATCATTGGATCCTTGGTGTTGAGTCCAACTCCATAAAAATGGATGAATGATTTTAATAATAGTTTGATTAAATTCTAATTCAAATGTGGTTTGCATATTCTCTCCCACTCTTCTTCATCTCATCCCTTTCTTATTGCACTAAGTGTTATTGGAGCATGATCTCTATATCATGTCTAAAAAAAATGGTGCATAAATTGCTATTGACCGGCCTCAAAATAGGTGTGACTTCTATATAAGTTCACTTACGATTGCTTAACATAGCGCTAAATTTTGTCCCGATTAGAATAAATGATCATTAGTGGCCCAAACATATATTTGTAAGCCCAAGTATGTTAATTTGATCTCTTTGATCCAATAACCTTGAGATTCATTGTGTGGAGGCTTTGGTTCTACCAATCCTCTAATGGATCTACATCACTTTTGGTCAACGGGGATCACTTAAACATCGTTGATCACTAAATGGTACTTTTGAGGATTACAAAATGGATAATATACTTGACGAAAAGCAAATGCAACTTGTTGTGTGGAGGCTTTGGTTCTACCAATCCTTTAATGAGTTCCAAATGCAAGTTTCAAGATGATCATCCAACTAACCACTAATTTCTTTGACTTTATTTTATGCTTTTATTTTTATGCTTTATGCACCATTTACTTTATCATTTACATTTCATGCTATTTTTCATCTTTGCTCACTTGAGCCCCCTTTATATTCTTGTCATTTTTGTTTTGCTCACTTGAGCTTTTTCTTTTCTTTTTTAAGATACTTAATAATCAACATGAACCATAAAAAACTTTAATGATACTTGGACTATTTGGTTACTATCCTTGGCATTATGGAGTATTGGACTTCTTGGACTTAGGATTAGAAACCTTGACCTATGTTGGAGACCTTGTGACCTTAATTGATATTTTGTCTGGAGTTCTTGAGGTTTACCTCAAGACATTGGGTTGTTTGTTTGTTTTGTGTGCAGGTTATTGTGATTACATACTTTGTTTGTAATCTGGAATTCTCTCGTATACAGCCGTTACTCTGCCCAATTTTTGTGAAGACTTAATACATTTGAAGTTTAGTTCTTTTAAGAGGTCTAGTATCTTTGCTTGCTTGGTTTTAATCCAAAGAATGGGAATTCTATCTTGACTCATAATGTCAAGTATTGGCTTCTTATTGGTTAGATGGTTCTTCTTCCTAGCTTTTACCTCATGCTTTAGGAGAGTATCTTATTCTCCTCCCATCTTCTTTAATTTGAAAAATCTTCTCCCTCCTTTTGAAAACTCTTCTTGTTTTTTAAACTTGAACCACTTTCATAATAAACTTGGACCTAGGTCCATGCATTTTCAAAACCTTTTCATAAATAAACATCAATCAACTTAATAATACCTTGACATTTTTGTGAGAATACTAAAAGTCAATCAATCTCATTTCAAACCATTTTGCCACTTTAGATTTTACTTTAAACTTTGCTCAAAAGATTAGACTCTTGTCAATCCTTGTAGTGATGTAAACAACTATACTTCTAGAATATGTAGTGAAGTGAGATATTTTCCACTTGGGTGTTGAGGAGGCATTGTTGATTTTAAAATCCAAGCCATATCCCCCACTTTGAGATGATGCAAATTCTCCTTTCTCATGATTGTGGGTAGTAAGTATGTTTTCCACACGGAAAATGACGATGATGTCTTATCTCATAAAATTAACCAACACACTTGTGTTTTAAAATTTTTAAAAAGAGGAACTACGTGTACCCTGATCCCCTATTGCACGGAAGATGGTACGTATGCACTAAAGGTTCACAACCGCGACGGGTGCAAAAATCATAAAAAATACTTCTTTTCTCACCTCCGCCATCTATTTTTTATACAACGTTTTATAGCCAAAATATACAGATTTAAAAAGAGGTTTCTGCAAAGTACCGTAGATGTTTAAGGTGCTAATACCTTCCCTTTGCATAACCAACCCCCTTACCATGAATCTTTCCCCCTCTTTTTGGGTTATTCGCTCTTTTCCCATTCCTTTGGAAACAATAAAGCGCGGTGGGGATTTTATTTTGATCTGTACAAGTCTAGTCAATCTAATTGTTTAGTCTTAAACATTTCTACCGCTACAGCGTAATGTTTTAGGAAATAGGGTTTTAATTGCTTATTAAAGAAAAAAGGGTTTGAATTTTAGTTAGCGAGACTCGCCACGAATTTAACCGTATGCCTACGTATCCTCTTATAAGGAATCATAGTCCCATTTTGTAGTTCGCAGTTTGCTTGGTGTTTTTTATGGATTACGCGGATATTTTAGTTTTTCTCGCACTTATTTCGAATGTGTGGACAATGGAGATTTTGAATTAAGCGCGAATTTAATTAAAAACACTTTGTATTCCTTTTTGAAAATTAATTTATTATAAAAATAGTTCGGCGATTGTTTGAATATTTTTAGACGCATAGTTGAGGAGTCTGATATAGCCCATTATCACGTAGCCAGATATTGGCCACGTATCGCTTGCGAATATTGTAGTTTTAATAAATTGCGGGTTTTAATATTTTGATATAAAATATTAAATTATGTTGTGAAAGTTATTTTTTAAGCGTGTGATTTTAATATGATTAAACAATATATTTTACTAAGTCTAAGATAATTTAATTATAATAATAAATAATATTTAATATTATAATTAAAATATAAATATAAACATATAATATTATAATTATTAAAATGTATATAAGAAATAAATAAATAGTTAAATATATAAAATGAAATTATAAAAATAAATAAGATGAAATTGCTGGGGGGGGGGGGCATGATTTTAGTTATGAAGGTCCTGAATTCATATTTTGAATTCAGGCCCCAAAATGTCCAGAGGGGTGTTAAATTCAGCGTGCCCAGTAAAAACAAAAAAAATGGGGGGGTTTGAGTAGCGGTTGGGCCAAGCCCAAAGGTCATCCTTGGGAGTTTGTTTGGACTCGGTGCCTATGGGTGTATTGGCTTTAATATGGACACACATTTTTGAGGCGTACGATTGAGAACTAGCAAATAAAAGGTGAGGGAGTATGATCGTTATGGTGAGTTACACGCATATGATAACAATTCTAATATATTTCCTAAAAAGAAAAAAACAGAATGTCATTTTTCGTTTTTCAAATCCTCTTCATCTCTCTTCTCTCGCCAAAAACACAAACCCTAGACCCTCCCTCCTTTCAACAGTAGCTCCAATTTGCGCTACCCCTCTCTGTCACCACGAAAACACTTTGCAAACCCTTCATCTCTTACATGAAACACGACAATAATCAAGACAAAAACTACGTGATTTATTACCTTGTCGTGGTTCTTCGTGATTCCCTTTCGATCTGAATTCTTTCTAATCCCTCCTCTCTCGTTCTTGACAGGTACAACGAATGAAAGCTTGGAGCGGTGATTGAAGGAAAATTGATGGCGATGTTATCGCTAGCGGCGGCGGTCAGAGAGGCCTTAGCGGCGGCTTACGATAATGATGAGAGAGGAGAATCGGAGAAGTAAAAAATTCTCTATAAATTTGATCGCTAATATTTCTGTCTTAGTATCTTTTTTCTTACTGTATTTGGTTACCGTCTCTCCTCCTCTTTCTCACTGGGCTATAATTTTCTTTCCTCTTTACTGTCCTCCTCTCTCCCTTTGTAATCTTCTTATTTTATAGCAATTTTAGGTTTATCAAATTAGGAAAATAGTTAATTTGTTGTTTTTGACTACTCTGTGTTTAATTAGGTTATATCAATTTTAGGAAACAATTTTGAATTTGTTCTGTAAATTATTGAACATTGCATTGATTTGTATATGATTATGTATTGATCCGTATTAAAATGTTTCCAGTTTTGTTGAAAAGTCCCTTCTATGATTCAAGTCATTTCCAGATTTTCTTAGGAATTGTGTTTTGCAATTACTGCGTTTTGATACAGTTTCCTTGTTGGAAGAACATGTCTTCCTTTACTCACGCGCGCGGACATGATTTCAACAGTGGGCGTTAGGGGCATTGATTTGGTCCAACAACATTTGGGTCTTCGTTTTATTTTCAATTTCAAAACGGGCTAAAACAAATTGTTATCTAAAAAAACAAAAATTGGGCCTGAGCAAAAAAGTTGTATAATGGCCCTCTTTCTTTAAAAAAACGTTTTTACTTTGACACACATAAAAAATGATTTCAAAAATCATAATATTAATAATAATCAAATAATAATAATAATTAAATATTATTATTAATAATTAAATAACAAGAATAATCAAATAATATTTATCTTAATAATAGTCAAATAATATAACAGTTGCAGTGTCAATAATGATTAAAAAAAACTCTGAAACGGGCCACCTGCTTTTGGCCTGTTATTGCAAGACAAACATTATGACAAATAAAAACAGTTTTTTTTTTCAAAAAGGAATGGGCCTTTAAACAAATAAAACATATTGTTTTAAAAAGCTAAGTGGGATTATGCAACTCAAACGTATCGGGCCTTTAAACAAGGTAAATTTGTTTTCAAACACCCTCCTTTGTATTCGCATTGATTTTAAAAACTATGGGCCTTGTCTGATTGAGAAAGGCCCATGACCCTTTTTACAAAACAAACCCCTCCTTAATTATAAATACCCCATAGAAATAAGACTATATAATATAAATCGTTTTAAAACCTAAACCTAATGTAGGGAAAATTTGAGGTATGACACCTAGTTACTAGCAGTTGAATATATACAGAAAATTAAAGGTGTAGAAAGTAAAGACCTAAGCTATTACAAGGCTTTGGGGAAATTACATAAAAAATGCGGGAAAGTAAAGTGCGGAATTTAAACCTAAACTATTACATCATGTGAGCAGTTACATAATAGAAAAAATATGGAAAGATAAATCTAAGCTATTACAAGAAAAAGTTGTGCGACCTATACAATTTCTCGAAGAAAATAAATAGCAAAAGAAATAAGAAAATGTTAGAAAAATGTTTGAATGTTTTTTATATTTTTTTAGAAAATAATTTAAATTTATTTAAATAAGGAAAACCCCAAGTCTAATTAATTTTAATTAATAAAAATACCTAAAGTCTAATTAGTTTTAATTTTAAGAAAATATTAGTTAACATGATTAATTAGTAAATAATAGAATGTCAAAATTAATTAATGATTAATTAAGAAAATAATTAGGTTTAATAATAATTAGGGTTAATAATTAAAATAGAAAAGAAAATAGGTTAGCAAAAATAAGGAAAAACACTGCATGGGGGTGGGTGTTGAACCTACGCCCTCCAGCCTTCACACTAACTTGCTTGCCACCCAGCCAACATGCTAGTTGTGTTTGTAGAATAGACGCTGCACCTTATATAGAAAACTTGTGTAATTTGGAAAAATAGCAAAAAAATATGGTGAAGCGCAGGATGGAACCCACGCCCTTTGAGGTAAGAAGTGACTTTGTACGCGCGCGCTTGCCACTTGGGTGACTGTTACATCCGGTAATCAAATGAAACAAAACAAATATATTATAAAACACGCGAACCGGAAAGACGTCAGCGCCCTAACTCCGGTCGTTTTCTCTGGTGAGTTGATTCTTGTACTCTGCATAATAACGCATGTAAGTGATCAATGAAGACCCTACCCCCTAATTTGAGGGCTGCAAACTCATTGGTGGCCTTGGTTCTTCCTAAATCGTCTTGTATAAAGAGGTATGAACAAAATAATGCAACACGATTCAACCATGGTGTTGCACGATTCTGGCGTTATATGCCTCATGCAAGGGGTCAATCTTGTATCATTACATATCAGGAACATATTAGAAACGTTAGTTCACATCAAAACATCATGAAAATTAAAATACGAATTTAAACAAAACATGAAATCGGTGATGCATGGGATGCATGTTTCAGGCCCTTTTGATCATCAAGAATGATCAAGGCTTACTCTGTAACACCCTAGGAGTTAATTTGAATTGATGGTTAGCCTTGAGGATGACTGAAAATAGGATTTCAAGTTTGCCCTATTCTTGACAAAATTTGATATTTTGAGATAGCGTTCTTGCAGGTTTTTTTCATGTCTTGAGTGTATGAATGAGTTGTGCTTATATAGAGGAAGAAATTAGGTTAAGACATGGGCTTGGACCTCATGTAAAACAATCTTTTGATTTTGTTTAAAAATAGGTCGGAATAAGACAAAACCATAAAGACTTGTTTCTCTAATAGGTTCACACGGTTGGTAATGAGATCTTAGGCCTCCAAAAGATCAGAATCAAAAGCCTTTTATGCCTTATACCTCCACTTACTATTTATTTGATTTAATTTGCATTTAAATGAATAAAAATTCAAATAAAAGAAATAAAAATCATAAAAAATGTGTGAATGGTTTTGGGGGTCCCCTAATATGTCATGAACACGTTTGAACTTAAAAAATTAGTCCCATTAATCCAAAGGCCCAAAATTGTTCAATTGAGGTTTCATGCAATTTCACAAAATTACCCAACTTGTGCAACTCATAACTTGCTAAATCTTTGTCATATGAAGGTGGTATTAGTCTTTTTGGAAATCTAAAGATGTCTCCTACAACTCTCATGTTGGTAATTTTTTCATTTGAATACTTTATCTTGATGTAAATTGCTTTGATAAAAAGTGTCTTTTTGTTGACTTTTAAAATGACCTTTAATATTTTGGCTCATATCTCTCAAATGAAGCATTTTTTGGCTATGAGCTTAGAGAGACAAAGTTGTATAGAATTGAATTTCCATCAAAATGTGATTTGGTTGAGTATTTTATGAGGAAGCATGTGAAAGTTATGTTTGGTCAAAGTTCAGTTGACTTCTCCTAAAGAAAACCCTAATTTAGCAACTTTTGACTTTTGATGAATCTTGAGTTTTCTTGATGATTCATGATCAACCCTTGATAAAAGGATGAATATGAGTTCAAAATTTGATGTTAACCAAAAATCTTAAAGTTTGATATAAGTTGACCACAATTGACTTTTTGTCCAATACAATTGATTTTCAATCATTTGAGCAATTGATTGAGAAAACTTGTTATGTAAGGCTTGAAACTTGACATGAGGATTATTTGAAGCACATGGGGAACCATAAGACTTACTTGAGGCATTAGAAGCTCAATTTTCTGTGAGAAAACCAAAACCCTAGTTGTAGGCCATTGCTTAGGAGGAGGATTCATCTTATCAATTCTTGAGTAATCTTGAGTACTTGAGAAACCTTAGGAGCATGAGAAGATATCTTGAATCATATTGTCTTTAAAATGGGAGGGCAAATTTTAGGGTTCAACTGAGGAGATACTTCTTCATGCCGTCAGTCGTTGAGACTTGTACGGCTTCCTGGTTGAAATGCTCAATATATGCCCGGAGGGACTCATCTTCCTTGGATGATCTCCTCCAGAGATGCTTCTGAGTTTGGGTGTCAGTGAGATGCCATAAAGTTCCTGGAAAATTGTATTCCCAGGTTCTTCCATGATCGGATGGATTCATCGGGAAGACTCTTGTACCACGTCATGGCCCCTTTCTTGAGAGTTGTATAAAAGAGTCAGCATTTGATTGCTCAACGAACTCCTTTGTAATAGAGAAGGGCGTCAATGTTTTCAATGTGCTTGTCAGCGTCTATTTTTCATTCATAGGTTCTAAAATGGGGAGGTTTCTCCAGACCGACGAGGGGTGTGGTCTCCATGATTTTTCTTGATAACGGGATGCGAGGCTCGTTGTTGTCGCTCCTCTCAAGAGATGGTGATTGGGAGTGGTGATCGCTCCCTCGTTAAGGAGAGGTACTCCTTCTAAACTTGGGTGACAGAGAGTGGTCGCGGTCAACCGGGTTTTCCTTTGTCTTTTTGGAGATCGAGGAGTGTTGATCTTTTTGGGGAGGCGTGCGACCTTGTCATACGTGGGACGGACATGCCTTGGTGAAGATGGAATGCAAGAGTCATAATGTCGGTGTCTCTGAGGAGGGGACTTTGACCGCTTCTTCTCCTAGGCCCCAATTCTCTTTCTTTGCTGCAGGATTAAGGCGCTGGTTTGATTAAGGGCAACGAGCAGTGCTGCCATGGCTGGGTAAGCATTTGATGGAATGTGAACTGGCTAGAGGACTTCTGGTAGCTCCTAGTTGGGGTTCTTAGATCTCTGATTGTCCAAGAGTTGGAAGTTGTCGCGTTCAATATCGATTAAGTCTAGGGACGGTGTCTGACCATCTCTTATATCGAAGATATCCTCTAGTTGAAGAAGTTATTGGCTTCATCATGTCTTGTGGATAGGAGAAAGTATAGTTTTTTCAAACAAATGATGGTTATCATTATCGTCCATGATTTAAAGGTATAAATGTATCTTTGGTCTTCAGTTTCGAGGAAGAAGGAAGACGGGGATGATAGCTTCCCATAGATGGTGCCATTGATCTTATCGGTTGATCATAACCTGAAAGTGGGCCTTGATGATGATGTTTACTTCACTGGAAATATAAGGAGGAGAGGGGGTGAACCTGCAAGGTACTCTGATGATCAAGTAAGAATGGGTGCAAAGAGATACAAGAAAGAGATTAGGGTTTTTAATATGAATATTGGATACCTGACCCTCACAGGTGTGAGGGTTTATATAATGCCCATGACACGTACCCATTGGTTCTTATTTTTAGGCCTAGATATTATGTTCCGTGAAAATAGGCAACTTCCAAGACCTGGTCAAAATGGGCAGTTA